CTGCTGAACGTTTTCTACAAAAAAAGCCCTGCTCTGGAGTATATCTTTTTCCATATGGCGAGCCGAAAGGAAATCATCGACCCGCTGCTGGAAAGGTTCCCAGGAAGGTCAAACAAAATTAAATTGGAATACCTGTTGTCGGATAGGAATCACCGTATATCAAGACAGGTGGCTAGGTTCTGCGCCCAGGTATATAAGAAACGCAAAAAGTGAGGCAAACAGGCCATATCTCTACTTTTATCAAAAATTGTTTTAAACTTAAAGGCTTTTTAAATGGTTTAAAAGGTTTGAACTGTAGATTTACTTTTTCCTTTATATTTTGTATAACTTAGAAGCCAGTGGTGGCAAACCTATGGCACGGGTGCCAGAGGTGGCACTCAGAGCCCTCTCTGTGGGCACGCGTGCCATCGCCCCAGCCAGGCCCAGACCATCATTAAAGTGTGGAATTCTCTGCCAAATAATTTTAAGTCAATGAAAGCATTTGGGATTGCTTTCCTTACTTTGTTTGGATCATCTTAAGTTAATGTATGAGTGTTTTTTTCTAAAGTAAAACCTCAGTATTCAGGTTAAATTGCCGTGTCGGCACTTTGCGATAAATAAGTGGGTTTTGGGTGGCAGTTTGGGCACTCGGTCTCTAAAAGGTTCGCCATCACTGGTATAAGCTTTTATGTTCCTAAGATTTTTACTGGCTCATAACCAGCTAGGATAGTATTGGGGGGGTTTCTATTTGTCTTTTAAATTGTTATGTACTGGTCGAAGACCGTAATAATAAACTGTAACTGAACTGAACGGCCCACCCCCCTTCCGGTCTGTCTGCCCCACTCATCCTCTTCATTCTCACCTGTAGTGAAGGGAGGGGGTTTTACTTCACCAGTTGGAGCCCCAGGTTTAGCCAGGGCTTTTTTTGTAGAAAAAGCCCAGCAGGAACTCATTAGCATAATAGGCCAAACCCAACAGCAGATATGCATTAGCATATTAGGCCACACCCTTGACAGCACAGCACATTAGCATATTAAACCGCACCCCCACGTTGCCAGAAGTGTGGTCATCCAGCCACACCCACCTTTTGCTTCTTATTCTGTTTACCTTGTTTGTGGTCAACACCCAGGGCCTTTTTTTGTAGCAGGAACTCCTTTGCATGTTAGGCCACACACCCCTAAAGTAGCGAATCCTAATGAGTTTCTGCTGTTGGGTGTGGCCTGTTATGCTAATGAGTCCCTGTTGGGCGTGGCCAACTCGGGAGCCAGTCGGAAGTCTGTTCCTGTGCGTTCCTGACCAAAAAGAGCCCTGGTAGCTCCTGATTTCTGCGCACCTTTTTGCGCCTGTAAGTCATTGCTTCTTTTTGCTACTGTTGCTCTTGCTTTCCTACAGAGGACCCCGGACTGCACTGAACACGGCAGGCAGCCGAGTGGAAGCAGATAGTGGCTCGGCTTTTGGCTTGGCTCAGCTGATACATTCTCTAGCCCCCCCCCCCAAACCCTCCTCTCATCCTGCTCCCAGAATGAACAGCGTGCCCTCGGAAACCCGCAAATGGCAACGAACGTACCTGTGGATGCTCTCATCAGTACCCTGTCATGGTCCAGCCTCCCGGCGAGGACTAAAGCATACGAGGTGAGGGCCACGGTGTAGGGCCTTTCCAGCGCCTCGTACTTTTTGGCTAGATACTCGGCCGCTTTGGTGATGCTGTTTTCTAAAATCTACACAGGGGAGCAAAGTGATCTGTATGTTAGAAGCAGGGGTCATTTCCCTGCTGGAGCAGGGCGGAGCGGCACTCCGGCAGTAAGGAGTCCTGGCCCGCCTGCACCATTCCTGGCCTCCCAGCCCGAGGCGGGCAGACATGCCCCTCCTTTCCCCTGAGCCTCTCTGGGGGGGGGTTTAAATGCCTGCAGCCATGGGGCACCTGGAGAAGATTGGGCAGGAGACGCAGAGAAGACTGCGTCCCTGTTCCCCCCTTCCCCTGGGCCTCTCCGCTTTTATGGAGAAACTCGGGGGAAGGGGGGGGATTTAAATGCCTTTCCTGGTGCCCCGCGGAGAAGATCAGGCGGGGAACCCAGGAACACTGGCCTCCCTGCCCTTTGTCAGAGGGTGTGGCGTACGCAAATGAGTCATGCAAATGTTCCTGCACCTCTTTTTCTAGGAAATGACCCTTGGAGAAGACTTCAGGGACCAATCTATGATTCTATGATCCTATGATTTTGAAACAGATCTCCATACTTCTGGCCTACTTCTTTCTCAAGTGGTGGGAAGTTCTGGAGGGTCCACCTGCTGCTCCTTTGTACCATTTACTTTTTAAAATAAGTATCCAAGCAGAGCACAATGGGTGCAAACAGGCACTCTTACCGCAGGCAGCAAATCACCAGAGAGCAACTTGCCAATTCCTCTGTGCCCCTTTCTGGGGGGGGGGGGTGATGGATGGCGTTTTGGCTCTGTCTACTGAACCCCATGGTCGCAACCCTGGCTGCTGGCTAGGGTGTGGAATAACGTGCTCAGCACCCTTTCCCACATGTGATTCCCCATCAAAGAAGTGCACGTGTACGGAAACCTCTTCCCATGCATGTATGGGTCAAGTGTGTGCGTGGAAATAACAAATGGAGGAAGAATTAGCAAATGACTTTATTTAATTCATTTATACCTCGCCTTTCTCCCCAATGGGGATCCGAGGTGGACTGCATTGTTTTCTTGTCTTCCAAACAACCTGGAGAGTGTGTGACTGACCGAAGGTAACCCAGCAGGCTTCCGTGGCAGAGCAGGGATTCAAACCTGGGTCTCCCAGAATCTAGACCGACACTCTGTTTTGCCATGCTGGCTCTCAGTTAACTGTACTTCATTTTGGTAACACCCTAACTCTCAAAACCAGTGAGAGTCTAGGACTGCAACTTACAGCTCTCCTTTAGAGCAGGGGGGTCCCCAACCTTTTTGAGCCTGCAGGCATCACTGGCATGCAGACATAGTATGGTGGGCGCAGCCACAAAATGGCTGCTGCAGGAGGCGGAGCCAGGCACAAAATGGCCTCCACAGCTTACCTTCCGTCACACATGGAGGAAATGAGTAACACACCAAAAGGACGTCAGCAGAGTGCAGCTCAGATGAACAGAGGATGCACCCCAGAGCTGGTAAGGTGGGCTACTGTTAAGTTTCCGGCCAGAAGGGCAGGGAGCAAAAACAGGACTGTTGTGTATTTGCTTATCTGTATTGCCTAAGTAAACTAGCCGGAGCTTCAGACACAAGCTCCATAGACTCTTAGGATGCTAAAGTCTGCAGTCGGATTGGTCACTGTCAATCCGGGAAGACTCTGACTTTTGGCAGGAACAAATCCCATTGGTCCTAAGCTCTCTATTGTGATTGGACATTACTGTACTAGGGAGTGTGGCCTCGCTAGTTCAAAATGTATAAAGTCGGATTGTTCTTTGAGTGTTGTTGTTGTGTGTTACGAGGCGGATAAAGAAATCACTTGTTGAAACACTGCCTCGATATCAGTATATAGCAAGGGCATGGCAGGGGGAATGGCTGGGGCGTGGCTGCATCCCTAGAGGCATTGAGCACAGGCACTTACGTTGATTTGTTGTCTGCAGATTTCTCTGGACTCCAGCAGGGCCACCAGGACGAAGGCTGTTAAGGATGCCTCTGGTTCCGCGCCATTATAGCCTCCCTAGGAAGATGGGGAAACAGCCCTTTAATGGAGTATTAATTCAAACAAAAACTCCTAAGGCCCCAAGAACAGTGACGGTGCAGGCACCTCAAAAGAAGCATCAGCACAGAAAGCCAGAGACAGTAGATCAGAAGCCAACACTCAGCAGTTCAAGGAGGGCCTGTCACGGCTCAGGTGGGGGTGTCACCTGACGCTGCCACCACTCTGGATTGAGGTTCCCTTGAGAAGGCCCAGAGCACCCTCTCAAGACCTTCAGACCTCCCTTTTGGCCGAATAACAGGCGTGAGGACCAGGCAGAGTGAAACAAGGAAAAGGTTTATTTTATAGGAGGTCAAACAACAAGGTGCAGAAATATAACAGTAAGTGGGTGAAAAGAAAAGAAACCAAATGCCCTAACGCGTCTAAGCATATACTGTCCCTAGCTCACTATTCCAAGTGGCACTAGACTACTCACCTTTCCCTCAGGATGAGGGTCTCTTCCCTGCAGCAGCCTTCCTTCTGGCTCTGCCCTCTGGGAAGAAGAACAGCTTTTCCTGCTGCCCCAGATCTTTTATTCCAAGCCCTCCTCTTTTCCTATTGGTCAATTTTGGCTCCAAAACCTCTCAGGGGCTTCTGAGAGTTGTAGGCCCAGCCTGTCCTACTGCTAGCCAGGCTCCCTGGGCCTATTAGGCCTCTGGTGGCACAGCCCAGATCATGACAGAGCCTACAATCTCTTTTAAGTGGCTGAAACTGGCGGCAGTCTGCCCACGAGAGCACCCCCCCTCCATCCTTTTTTTGGTGGGGTCAGTTAAGCGCATGACCAACTGGCAGCAACAGTGGCAACAGAATTACTCAGGACCTTTCAGCCAAAAGGAAAACACACAGGTGAAACTGCGCTATACCGAGTCAGACCTTGGTCTGTTGAGATGGGTATTGTCACGGGGAGTGGCTTTCCAGGGACCCAGGCAGAGGGGCTTTGTAACACCTGCTATCCAATCTATTTAAGTGGAGATGCCGGGGACTGAACCTGGGACCTTCTGCATGCCAAGCAGAGGCTCTCCCACTGAGGCCCCTTCCCCATGGCACTCTTGGGCAAAAACTGTTGTCAGGTTCCCTAGTCAGTTCACACCACACAGAGCTTCATAAGAAGTTAACTGTTTATTAGTGGAATCAGAACTAAAGAACACGTGTACAGCTTGTGTCAGGAATGGCCGTCAGCATAAGGGCCTCAGACTTATAGTAAAATCAGACATTCCCCCCCTGTGTGCATAAGCCAATGGATATAACTCACGCACACGGGCAAAATCAAGCTGACAAGCGGGCAAAGCAGAAAAACCGTTAACTTTCCCAGCCGAGTGAAATGCAGCTGGAGCCTCCGCAAGGTCAAGCGTAAGATAGCACACAGTAGCTGGACAGGGAAGAGCTGAGAACGAGGAGGAGGAGGGCACCCCTCCACATTCCAGATCCGTGACAGGGCTACCTGACAGGAGAGGGGCTTTCAATGCCCTCCCAAACTGGTGCTGGCCTGCCAGGAAAACAGAATACATCCCATGTTCAGAAGACAAAGACTTGAATTATGTAATTCGGCACTCAACAGTTTATAGCACTGTTCTTATTGATTCTAATCGGGAGAACTGGGTTTGATTCATCACTCCTGTACTTGTCGCCTGCCAGGTGACCTTGGGTCAGCCACAGTTCTCTCAGAGCTGTTCTCTCAAGAGCAGTTCTCTCACAGCAGTTCTCTCAGCCTCAAGAAGTAGAAGAGAAGAAGAGATTGGATTTATCCCCCACCTTTCACTACTCGAAGGAGTCTCAGAGCGGCTTACAATCCCTTCCCCTCCCCTCCCCACAACAGACACCCTGTGAGGTTGGTGGGGCTTTGAGAGATCTGACAGAAACTGCCCTTAAGAGGACTGCTCTGAAAGAACTTTATGACTGACCCAAGGTCACATCAGCAGGTGCAAGTGGAGGAGTGGGGAATCAAACCCGGTTCTCCCAGATTAGAGTCAGCGCACTTAACCACGACACCAAACTGGAAGGCTAAGGCCTCACGAGCAACATTGGCTCAAACACATAACAGCCATTCTTGTGCTGTATTTTTTGGAACTGGGAATCTGGACTTAACCAGGACAAGCAACATTCACCGCTGACATCACGCATACCTGCATAGGTCTGCTGAACACCGGGGAGTCTTCCTGGAACATTCCATCCGGCTTTTGCTTTTCCCAGAATCAGCCATTTCACAGCTCCGCAGATGACCTTGGCATCGATGTTTGTCTCGATAGGCTTAGCCATGGCAAAGACCTTTGCGACGTAGGCCGTTAGCCTGAAGGGAAGGTGGTGCGTCAGCCCAGCCGGCTCCACTTTCTCAGGGTAGAACAAGCCATGGCGCTCCCATCCGCCCACTGATCACCCTGCCATGCCTGACCAGGGCAGCCTTGAGAAAGACAGGAGCTCTCCGTCTATGGTTGTCAGCTGCTTAATGGGCCTTTTGTAGGACCAGCAACAAACATCAATTTAAACTTCAAGGTAACCACAAAAGGAAACTCCCCCCTTTAGAAGACTTTCAAGCAAGGAGAAGCGGGTGTACAATTCTAGAAACTCCCGTTGGGGGTTGATTGTGTAAAAAGGATGTCAATTGACTGGTAGCTATTAGATCGTACAAACTGATTACTAATGTTGATATTGCATGTAATGAATATATCTACCTGTTTTAGAATATTATGAATAATACACAATGCACTTTATAAGATGGAACATACAGAACCCTTTAACTTATAAAGAACGTTTTTGCAGTGTATATATTTGTTGTTTGACAGGGGACCTCAGCAGGGCAGAATGCCACTCAGTCCACCCACCAACGGTGCCACTCCCTCCGGGGGAACTGATCTCTGTCGCCTGGAGATGTGTTGCAATCCCAGGAGATCTCCAGCGACCACCTGGAGGCTGGCAACCCTACCTGGCCTGCAGACAGGGCTCCCAGGCAGTGTTCCCTCTAAGCTGAGTCAGTGTGAGCCGGCTCACGGTTTTTTAGCCTCCGGCTCACACATTTTTGTCTCAGCTCAGGCAGGAGGGCTCCAGAGCAAACTAATTTATGCAGTAGTCAAATTGCTTGCTCACAACTTTAGTGCCAGTAGCTCACAAAGTAGAATTTTTGCTCACAGGGCTCCACAGCTTAGAGGGAACATTGCACCCCACCCTAAAGGGCTGTCTGCCACTTGACAGCAATTCCCACCACCATCAAAACATTAACTTGTCACCAGCGGGGGGGGGGCTTGGGGGGTGTTCCAGGAGGAGGCAGGGATGCCCCAATTCAATGACATCACGCAAAAGTGACACCATCGCGTTGGGGATGCAGCCCCTTGGAAGGTGCCGACAGTGCCTGCCTGCAAAAACCATTTGATTTTAAATTGTTCCTGTAAGCGGGCGCTGCACACGCCTGAACTCCCAAGTGGCGAATTCACTGCTTGGAGTTCAGGCGTGGGGCCGTTGGCCTCCCCTCTCCCTCCCCTCCTGCGAGATTTAAAGGGGGCCACGTGCTCCCCGCTGAACAGCTGGAGGGCCCTTTAAATCTCGCGGGTGGGGAGGGAGAGGGGTGCCCCCCCGTTGGTTGCTGTGGTGGGCGGGGCTTCCCTCACTGGCCAACTGGCCGGCAGCAGACGGGCAGGGCCGGCTCACCCGCTAGGCGAACTAGGCATTTGCCTAGAGCGCCTGGACCTGGATGGGGCGGCAGGACCTGGATGGGGCGCTGAACTGTGCCTCCCCAGGAGGCGGAGAGGCATTGGTGGTGCATCAGAGGCGCGCCGGGCGAGCAGGTGGGCTCGGAGGGAGGGGAGGAGAGAGGTGCCGGGGCTCAAGGCAGAAGCACAGGGAGGAGAGAGAGAAAGAGGGTGGTGGCAGTCAATCTAGGGCTGGCTAAACAGAGAGGTGCCGGGGCTCAGGATGGATGGACAGATGCAGCCAAGCTAGACTCCGCCGGGAGGTTGGCAACGCCCATAATTGGGCGCGCACACGGTGGGGGGGGCGCCAGAAGGTAGCCCCGCCCAGGGTGGAAAAGAACCTCAGGTTGGCCCTGCGGGCGGGAGCCTGTGAGATCAGGGAATCCCCCGTCCCCACCTGAGGACCGGCGAGCCCACCTGCAGAGAAAGAAGCAAAACAGAACAGGCCACTTTGGATGCGGCGGCTACCTATGCTTCGTTGCCAGTCCAGAAGGAGACGCTGATGATCCCATGCAAGAGGCGGGAAGGCTGCGGGACTCGGAATAGGCACAGGGAAGGGATCGCGGTCCCTCAGGTCTACGGATGGCGGAATGAAAAGGCTTCTCTTCAAGCCCCGGGGGAGGCTGAGACCCCCCCGGAAAATTTCGGAGGTAGCCCCCGCCCCTCCGCCCCCCTGAACTCTACGCCTATGTGCGGCGGCTACCTATGCTTCGTTGCCAGTCCAGAAGGAGACGCTGATGATCCCATGCAAGAGGCGGGAAGGGCAGCATCTGTGAAGGAGAGCCTGCAGTTCCTCCCAGCAGGCTGGCATGGTTTTGCCGCTACCCCTGACCTGGGCCATCAGAATGCCAGTTTGCCACCGGATTGGGCGCAGCCGCACTTACCAGGTGCTAGACGGGTGTGTGCTAGAGGAAGCGTAGGAGTAGTCTGCTTTCTTGTACGCCAGTTCCTGTATATAACCTGGGAAAAGAGGAGGCAGCGGACAGCGATGATGGGATCGTGGGCCAGCTTTTTTCCGAAGCGTGTCTCTCGGCAGGCGGAATCAACGCCTCTCCCCCTGCCGTGCTCATTTCCTGAGCTGGCAGGGAGGCCTAGTCCAGGGGCCCCCAACACGGTGACACTAGGACCTCTCCTGGAGCCTGCCAAGTGTTTTTAGCCCAGTCGGGCCTCTGATTGGTCAGCCAGAGTTCCCTCTAAGCTGAGTGAGTGTGAGCCAGCCCACAGTTGCTTAGCCTCCAGCTCACCCATTTTTGTCTTCGTTCAGGAAGGAGGGCTCCAGAGCAAACTAAATTATGAAGCAGCCAAATCGCTCGCTCACAGCTTTCATGACAGTAGCTCACAAAGTAGAGTTCTTGCTCACAGGACTCCACATCTTAGAGGGAACATTGTTGCCCACGGGAGTTTTGATTGGCTGTGCAGTTTAAAATCACCACAATGTTGGTTTTATTCTCTTATTCCTCTTTCCCAGAGCATTTTAAATATATATATATATCCAGGGGTCATTTCGTAGAAAAAGAGGTGCAGGAGCTCATTAGCATAACTCATTAGCATACCTAATTTGCATATGCCACACCTCCTGACATCACCGGAAGTGTGTCAGAAGGCAACACCCTCCACTCAGGCTCCACTGGACTGTTTTGGATTGCTCGCTATGGGGGGGGGACGAACGTGCAGATCTGTCCTTGCAGAGGAGGGAGAGCTTGTACCTGAATAAAACTTGGTCTTAAAGGTGCCACTGGACTGTTTTGGGCCGAGGGGGGCAGCTTACCTGGCTGCTTCTTGCTCCTTGTGACCTGGGGCTGCTGGGAGCAGGGGGCGGGGCTTGTTGCATGTGCCCACCCCCTGGGCTCTTTACTGCCGGAGCTCCGCTCCTGTGTGCTCCTGCAGGAAATGACCCCTGTATATAACCTTCTCCTCCCCTGCACTTGGTCTCCCCCTGTGTTTCTGTGCATGGCTCCGCCTCCCGTGACGGCCATTTTGTGGCTGGCACCACCTCCTACGGCAGCCATTTTGTGGTGGCACAGTCTCAAAGAGGTTGGGGACTCCCCACCCTAGTCTGATGAGCCCCCCCTGTGGTCCTCACCTTGCATGATCTGCTTGACCGCAGCAGACCGGCGGTCCACCCCAAGCTTCTCCCACTGGTCGGTAGCGTCAAGATAGTGGGTGGCGATAACTGTTGGAGTCAGTCTGATCATGTTCTGCTCCCCGCAGCCGGAAGGGGTGATGATGAGATGGTCCAGTTTGGCCCCGTCGATGGAGTCTTCGACAATCTGGGCCACGGGGTTCCCTGGCCGGAAAAAAAAAACCCAGAAAGTGGGCATGTGGGCAGAAAGACAGGGGGACTGGTGGGTTGAGACGGCACGCTTCCATGATGGCGAGGAGCCACAGTTCTTTGCTGGACTGCCACGTTTCCACTTGTGAATTTGTTTCACCACCGCCACCTTCTTTGGGTCATGTTAGAATCACCTTCGTGGGATCCATTTCAAGGTGCCGGTGACTGGCCCACCGTCGCCCAAATGAAGACAACCGTGCCAGATGAATCGGTTCAGCTGGGATTTTCGTTCTCTTAACCAGGGCTATTTTGGGGCAGGAACGCACAGGAACGGAGTTCCGGCTGGCTCCCAAGTTGGCCACACCCAGCAGGAACTCATTAGCATAACAGGCCACACCCAGCAGTAGAAACTCATCAGGATTGGCTACATTAGGGGGGGGTGGCCTAACATGCAAAGGAGTTCCTGCAACAAAAAAAGGCCCTGGGTTTGGACAACAAACAAGGTAAACAGAATAAGAAGCAAAAGGTGGGTGTGGCTTGATGAGCACACGTCTGGTAACATGGGGTGTGTGGCCTAATATGCCAATAAGTTGTGCTATCAGGGGTGTGGCCTAATATGCTAATGAGTTTCTGCTGTTCGGTGTGGCCTGTTATGCTAATGAGTTCCTGCTGGCCTTTTTCTACAAAAAAAGCCCTGCTCTTAACAATGTTCTAAGCCTCCTTAAACACCCACCCCGCAGTGTGGGCTCCTTAGATACAGGGGTGCCCGAGGCATACATAGGGTTGAAAGCTCTGGGTTGGGAAATCCCTGAGATTTGGGGAAGCCCGGGGAAGGTTGTGGGAGGAACTTCAGCAGGGTGTAATACCATAGAGTCCACCTTCCAAAGCCACCATCTTCTCCAGGGAAATCGATCTCTGTCGCCTGGAGATCCGCTGTAATTCTGGGAGGTCTCCAGAGACCCCCATCTAGAGACTGGGAAGCCTCAGCGTGTGGCATTAAAGCCCAGCTGGCTCCAAGCACCAAGCGGCCTCCATCTGCCTTTGCTTATGCCATGGTGGACCAGAAGAGATACGCCTCCAGTACCGGCACCCCTAGGTTGGCAAAATTTAGGATTCAGCTGGTGATTTCCCCTCACCACTGCCCAAACTTGGAGGTTTGCCATCCTCCAGGTGAGCCTAGTAACAAATAAATATACACCACAAAAACCTTTTAGCACACTAATGTGTTCTATTTATGGTCATCATTTAGTGAAGTGCATAGTGTATCATTATTTCATCCTAGTCAGGTATCAATATTCATTCCATGCAGCTTTGAGAATGACAGGAGTCCTCCGTCCATGAATGTTAGCTGCATAATGTGTCTTTTGTAGGACTGGCAAAAAGCATCCGTACAAGAAGGCTGTCCCCCTTTTTGAAGACTTCATGCAAGGAGAAGCGGGCTTATAATTCTAGAAACTCCCGTTGGGGCTTGACTTTTAAAACACTGATGTACAATTAGATTGCGAGTGACTGTGACCTTGACTGGGAACTGTGAGAAATGAACTGAACTGTGACAAGCGAGAAAGTGCCCTCAAAAGCACTTTTAAAAGTCAACAGCTGCGGAGGAAAGGTCTGGCTAAGAGAGTGGCAGCGTTTTAAACTTAATCGAAAGATGGAAAAAGGATAAATCCATTCTCAAAGCCTAAGACCTTCTGAAAAGACACGACAGAGCAAGCATTTACAGTTTGTAAACAGAGAAAACAGCAACCCGGAAGAGGAGATGAGAAGCCGGAGAAAAGTAAGCGGAAGAAGCTCCTTCTTGAATTAGGAGGCGAAGCCAGCCCTTAGAAGATCGGTTCGAAAAGCGTTTGAAAAGACTTTACTAACAGAGCACCACTGGGACACTACTAATATATTAACATAGATAATGTGTTTAACCGGTTTGAAGAAAGAAGTTTGACAACACACTGAAGAAGCCAAAGAAGAAAACTTTAATATTACTAACAGATTAATATACTAGTTAAAACATCACTCAGCTTTCTCTTGATCCCACTATATACCCTCCCTTTTTCTAATTAAGAGAAATATCTCTCCTTTTTAGGAGAGGGAATAAAGCTTTTAAATAAAAAAAAATACTTTGGCCACCAAGTGAGAAGGGAGCCCTCACTGGAGAAGAAGACCCTGATGCTGGGGAAGACTGAAGGGCGCCGGAAGACAGGAGTGATGTGGTCCACGGGGTCACAAAGAGTCAGACTCGACTGTGTGACTGAACAACTGTTTTCGCCTTGCCAACTTGAGGCTGGGATTTGGGGCATGGAGCATGGGGAAGGCAGGGTCTGGTGAAGAGACGGGCCTCAGCAGGAGACCATCCCTGGCTGAGTTCATCCCCCCAAACAAGGGTGAAGTGACCTCCACAGGGGAAGTGGTCTCAGTTGTCTGGAGACCAGTTTTAATTCTGCTATCCAGGCCCCACCTGGAGGTTGGCAACCTGTCAGCTAGCTGCCATATCTGTGTAGTCTACCCTTTCCTGTTCCCGCCTTGCTTGCAGCTCAGCAGCTTGCCGTCAACATGCCAGGGAGGCCGTGGGAACTAGACGCCGTTATCAGTCTGGCCTTGTGAAGCAGGGAGGGCTTGGGGTCCACATTTGGTGTGACTTTTTCTGCTCTCAGTAAACCATGAGACTCTCCCGCTCATTATGTAATCTCCGCCGGGAGTCTTCCCGCCCGCGTGCTCAAAGTTCATTTGCTTAGCTAATGGCCTTGCGCAGCTATATGTATTGGGATGTTCCCACCTTCTAGTTATTCCTAACAATAATCCTGTGGACGTGGTACCAGTCTTGTACACTAATAAAGCATAACGCTTCTTACGAAACGTGTGTGAAGAGTGACTTGCTGTGGAACCTGACACAGCCCTAGTTATTTCCTCCCCTGTGGCCCTATGGGTCCCATATTTTAAAGCAGCTGATTCTTGCCTTGGATGGTGAGTTGGGTCACGGTTTCCGAGTCGGGGACCTTGTCGTCGATAGGTCTGGCGACAATCTTCTCATCCTGGACTCCATCTGGGAAAAGGAGGGGAAACAGGACGGCTGTAAGAGACAGAAACACAGCCATCCGCCAGCTTTACAGATGCACCTTCGTTTGGGATGTTGGCCAGTGTTTCTCTGGAGCCCGTGAGGAGTTCATGCATGGATGGACTCATACCCAAAGAAAGACTGTCTAAAAAGAGGAACAGTATCAGCATAAGACAGGCCTTCACCATGTGTGAGCCATCTGGTCAAGCAGAGCCCACCAGACATGTGGTGTGGCCTGCCACCATGCTGAGTTAGTGTGAGCTAGCTCACAGTTTTTTAGCCTCCAGCGCACACATTTTTGTCTTAGCTCATGAAGGATGGCTCCAGAGCAGTGTTCTCTCTAAGCTGAGTTAGTGTGAGCTAGCTCACATTTTTTTAGCCTCCAGCGCACACATTTTTGTCTTAGCTCAGGAAGGAGGGCTCCAGAGCAGACTCATTTATGCAGCAGCCAAACCGCTGGCTCACAGCTTTCATGGCAGTAGCTCACAAAGCTGAATTTTTGCTCACCAGACTCCACAGCTTAGAGGGAGCATCCCGCTTTGCCTTGAAAGGTTAAGACAGCGAAAAGACTGGATGTTGAAAAAGCGCTTCATGGGACTCTCCCCCCCCCAAAAAAAAAGGTCAAAAGAGAAGTGCTAAAGAAGGGATCTGTTACTCACTGACTCCTTTTGCAGCGGGATCCAACTCAATGACTGTCGTAAACTTTTGCAACATCCCTTCGGGCTGGTAGGAAAGAAAAAATAAGAACCATCGTCCACCTGGGGCCAGTGGCTCAGGGGTAGAGCATCTGCTTGGCATGCAGAAGGTCCTGGGTCCAATCCCCGGCAGCATCTCCAGGTTTGACATGATGTGAAAGACCTCAGCCTAAGACCCTGGAGAGACCTCTGCCTGAGATCCCGGAGGGCCACAGCCAGTCTAGGTAGACAGTACTGACTTTGAGGGACCCAAGCGTCCGATTCAGTGTCAGGCAGCTTCACGCATTCACTGCTGCTAAGACTTGGCATGGTGGCAGTGAGAGACTCAAAACAGCAACAGGGCGATGCAAGCAAAGAGCATCAGATCTCATTTCTGGTGCAACCACTTCAGTTACGTGGTTCCGTTACTGCCTGAACACGACGTGGGAGGAGATATTAATCCGCTCCATGGATTCCCATTCGCTTCAGGTCCTCCCGGTTAGGATCTGGCGCTCATGTCCATAAGAGGCACTGTAGTACCCCCTGGTGGCTCTGAAAAGTCGAATATTTCAGGCCGAATCTGCATTTCATTTTTACAGCAGTCTTGATGCTGTCTTTCTTTATGTGTGATGCTTTTTTCGATCTGCTATTTTTTCCCCTGCTTGCTGTTCTCCCTCTTCTCTAGCACGACCGGCGTTTGCAGGCACCCGTTCGCTTTTCACAAGGCAATAAATTACTTAAGGCAACAAGCCAACAAGCTATAAACTTCTCTTTACATTCAAAGAGAAGGATGTTCTCAGCTTTCAGTTTTGCCCAGTTTTTGGTTTAAACAAGAAAGCAAAAATAGCCAAAATAGCCAAAAAACTGTAAAGACTGGGTGTTTAGTTTGCAGAATGTATGTATGTATGTATGTATGTAGAAGGGATCTTTCTCTAACTTTTCAGGCAATATAAAAATCACAAAACAAGATCAAATCATTCACTCTTAGTTTGTCAAGCAAGGGAAAAGTTTCGTACATCCCTCTATGTGCTGTCAGAAGGTAAACAAAGCAGATAAGCCTCCGAGTAGCACTTTTTTGGGGGGTGGAGGGCTTAGAGTGCTTTTAAGCACATCCATTTGAGCCGGAGAGAAGCCACACAATCATGACGGAGCAGAAACCACAGGGCAATAAAACAATGCAGACAGCAGAAATTATAACAGTGGAGAGCGAAACCTAAAGAGACGTGGACATCTTTTTTGGAGACGGAGCGAGAGTGTAGCCAAAGCAGTGAAAAGTACCAATGCAGATTCCACCTCAGTTTGCAGCGCTCTGAAAGTCGACATTTCATTTTACAGGGAAGCTGTAAAGAAAGGGCCCAGCAAGCTGAGGGCAGAGCTGCAAGCCTCTGGGTGAGGCCTGGAGACCTCCCAGGATTACACCTGATCTCCAAACTTCTCCGGAGAAAATGGCAGCTTTGGAAGGTAAACTAAGTGGAATGAGACCCTTTTGGGGTCTTGCTCCTCCCCAAAGCCTCCTTCCCCAAGTTCTGCTTGCAAAACCCAAGTTCTGCTTGCAAAAGAGCCAGTTTGGTGTAGTGGTGAAGTGCGCGGACTCTAATCTGGGAGAACCGGGTTTGACTCCCCACTCCTCCATATGCAGCTGCTGGTGTGACCTTGGGTCAGTCACAAGCTCTGGCACAGCTGTCCTTGGAAAAGATATCCAAATGAGAGAGAGAGAGAGAGAGAGAGAGAGAGAGAGAGAGAGAGAGAGAGAGAAAGAGAGAGAGACTTTCCTCCATTCCCTGCTCTGCACAGGTGGAGGTCAGGGCCAGTACTAGTTCTTGGGGTGAGGCCTCATGGCATCGGGTTGCCAATTCTGGATTGGGAACTTTCTGGACATTTGGGAAGAAGCCTGAAGGTGAGGTCTGGGAAAGGTAGAGTCTACCCTCCAAACCTGCCATTTTCTACAAATCATCTCATTTCTGTAGTCTGGAGATTAGCTCTTCATCTCCAGGCCTTACCCAGGGATTGGCAACCCTACACAGTCTGGGAACTAGCATACCTCCAAAGACAGGGGGAACTGAGGCCCATGGGGGGGAGGGAGGACTGCCAACTGGGGGCGGGGGGGGGGGAAACTTACCCAGGGATTGGCAACCCTACACAGTCTGGGAACTAGCATACCTCCAAAGACAGGGGGACCTGAGGCCCATGGGGGGGGGAGGTGTTAAACAAATACGGAGTGAGCTAGGGTTGCCAAACCCCCCAGTTTGCCGGGGGTCCCCCATTTTGGGGGGGTTCTACCCGCTGCTGTCCAGATGGCTGGCAGGGGATGCCCTACCCCCAACACCCACACCCACCCCTCTCTCTCCCTTTAAGTGTGTGAAACCCGTCTTTCCTCCCAAGCCTGTGTTTCCTCCCAAGGAAATGCCAAACTTTGTGCTCTTAAAAGGGAAACGCGTCTGCTCTTAAAGGGGAAACGCCAGCTCCTGCTTGCAAGGAAATGCCAAGCTTCGTGCTCTTAAAAGGGAGCTGCAGCTGCTCTTAAAGGGGAAACACCGGTTCCTGCATTTAAAAGGGAAACGCCGGCCCCTTTAAGTGCAGGGAACTGCTGTTTCTGGAGATCCGGCGCACGGCGGGTGGGGGGCGGCGGCGGACGTCCCCAACGTGACGCCATCATGTCGTCACGTCGGGGGTGCCCCGCCCCCTCCAAGACCACCCCCAAAGTCCCCCGCTGGGGGTGGAAGATGGACTTGGCAACCCTAGAGTGAGCGGCTACACTAGACTTCACCAACAACCATTGAGGCATAACATAGGTCGAATCTGCATTTGCATTTTTAAATTAGTTTCGTGCTCCTGTGACATCGTCTGTCTCGATGCTTGTTTGAATGTTGTTTGGAGAAGATTCATTTAAAGCAGTGCAGAGGCGCAATTACAATGGAGCCGCCATGAGAGGGCGATAAACATATGCAGACATGCGAAAGTATACTTGCACCGTTGAAGTGTGAAAACTAAAGCAAATGTAGATATTTTTTAAGACGGAGTCAGAAGGCTGGGACACCGGTGGGAAAGACAAATGCAGATCTGACCGTAGTTTTTGCTGCCCTAGTTGAGGCAGCATTCCAAGACTGGGCTGCCCTTCTGCAAGGATTACTGGATGAGGGAAGGTGGAATGCACTCATTAACAGAATTTTCTAGTAGATGGCTCATTTCAGCCTTTCTTTCTCTTTTTTTTTTTTTTGTAAATCTTTTTATTTCGTTATTTTACAGTATCTTTGCATCGTTTAACACTTATTTATATACCTCCCTACAAGAAGATATATCCTTACATTTTCTAACAGTTATAATATTTAACAGAAATTAAAAAGAAAGAAATAACTCTTATTGTCCAATATTATTTTACATACACAATGCATTTACACATGTATTTTTGGCTACACTAGACTTCACCAACAACCATTGAGGCATAACATAGGTCGAATCTGCATTTGCATTTTTAAATTAGTTTCGTGCTCCTGTGACATCGTCTGTCTCGATGCTTGTTTGAATGTTGTTTGGAGAAGATTCATTTAAAGCAGTGCAGAGGCGCAATTACAATGGAGCCGCCATGAGAGGGCGATAAACATATGCAGACATGCGAAAGTATACTTGCACCGTTGAAGTGTGAAAACTAAAGCAAATGTAGATTTATTTATTTTTTAAGATGGAGTCAGAAGGCTGGGACACCGGTGGGAAAGAAAAAAGCAGATTTGACCGTAGTTTTTGCTGCCCTAGTTGAGGCAGCATTCCAAGGCTGGGCTGCCCTTCTGCAAGGATTACTGGATGAGGGAAGGTGGAACGCACTCATTAACAGAATTTTCTAGAAGATGGCTCATTTCAGCCTTTCTTTCTCCAAGAGGCATCAGAGGCCCCGACTTCATACGTACCACAACTTTCAGCTTCTTCTTCACACCGTCCGACACATACTGGCCAAAGACAGCCCCTTTGACCTCGATGTCGTGGAGTCCTAGCTGGAGAGGGACGATCACGAACGGCAGCGCCTTGGAGGACAGGCCCTTGATGGTGAAAACCTGCCTGTATCTTTCCTTGGCAGTGGAAGCACTGCAGAAAGCAGGGTTGTGGACCAGTTCTACCCGCACCTGCCGAGAAGGAGGGGAAAGTGGTGAGCCAACCTCTTGGAAAATATGGGAGAAGTAAGCTGTGGAGGGCCTTCACTCCCCAATTTAAACAAATTACATCTTAGGTTGAAGAGAGACATTGCGTTTTTCCGGGGGTCGTGCCAGGATCCTTCCATGGTAACGTGAACCCACTTGGTGGTACAAATGTGCTTGTCTGCAAACTGAACATTCCATCAACAAGTAAGTCCGCCCCTCTGGGCTCTTCCAAATTCTCGTTTTCATGGCTTGTGTGTCCCTATCGCTCCCCTCCCTTCTTTTCTGCTTATGTTTTGCTCCCTCTAGAAATCGGTTTAAATCTGCAGGGAAATATGCCAGACATAGGTAAAGGTAAATAGAAGGGGAAGTCGTGGAAGTAGTGACAGACTTCACGTTCCTGGGATCCCAGATCACCGCAGACTGTGACAGCAGCCATGAAATTAAAAGACGCCTGCTCCTTGGGAGGAAAGCGATGGCGAACCTAAACAGCATGATAAAAAGTAGAGACATCACCCTGCCAACAAAAGTCCGCATGGTCAAAGCAATGGTATTCCCAGTAGTCATGTATGGCTGCGAGAGCTGGACTATAAGGAAGGCCGAGCGCCAAAGAATAGATTCTTTTGAACTATGGTGCTGGAGAAGACTCTTGAGAGTCCCTTGGACTGCAAGAAGAACAAATCAGTCAATCCTCAAAGAAATCAACCCTGACTGTTCCCTGGAAGGCCAGATAATGAAAATGAAGCTCAAATACTTTGTTCATCTTGTTTCTGCTTTTGTGCATCATGACATTACATTACATTTTACATTACATTTGCAATTTATATACCGCCCTATCCATGAGGCTCAGAGCGGTTTTACAGACACACAATTTCTATCTAAGCTGGGAGTACAATGGTGAGGGGAGGGTATTTTTTTCCCCCTAAGTAGGCACCTAACAGCAGGATCTTTCTTGGATTCGGCGGTGGATTCGATGGTGGTTCTTTCCTCGAGGGCGAAGGTGTCCAGTATTGAAGTACGGATTTTTCTGCAGTAGTGGTCCTTTTCCAGGAGATGGCTCCCACAGAACTCGAACGAAGCATCTCGACTCTTTATCCAATTGGCTCCAGTCTTCGTTGCAACGTCATGCTCTCAGGCACTGGTCTTCGTTCTCTGACTCGCCGCTCGTCGCTTCACCGCCATCTTTCGCCTCATCTTCATCGATTCCACACCATTACCGCTGCTTTTTAACAACGATCACTGAGGAAAGGTGCCCCCCGCTCGTAAGGAGCAGGTACCCATTTACCTACTTGCCTGTGCAGGCTTTCGGACCGCTGGGTGGGCGGGAGCTGGGACAAAGGGCCGGGAGCTCACCCCGGCCGCGGTGGGACTCGAACTGCCGTCAGCAGTTCGGCTAGATTAACCTGCAGGCTTTTTAACGCCATGTGCCACCGCTCATCAGGCACCGTGCATCAGGCACACTGCCCAACTATTTTTCCCCTCTTCATTTTACCAATAACATTTTTCTGGAAAAGTCTCTTCTTCAGGGATTGCAGAGGAAGTTAGCTGCTGAATTTATGCATACTGGCCAATAGGCACCTATGACAGCTGTTAACATAACCAGCATCAGCGAAAGTGAAACTATAGCTTCAGAGTGGAACTTCTGAAATTTACCAGTCCAACCAAAATCTTTACCAGTCAGCTTCCCCACACAGGCTCCCCATCTGTACACCAATCATAAAGCTGAGCATCCAAGTGTTGTAGCCAATGCATACCAAGTTGTACCACACAATTTCTGGAGAATGTCGTTTCGTGTGCATATTTTCACTGCGGCATTGGTAAGATGGAATTCATGGCTCAAGGACCTCTCCAGGGTAATGCCAAGGTACTTAGGTGTATCGTTGTGTGTAAGCTGGGTGCCATTAAGGTAGACATGCAGTTCACGATTGGCAAGATTGTTATTGAGATGGAAACAGGAGCATTCCGTTTTTTCCTGGACTTGGGATAAGCTACCACTTATGGTAGTAAAGTAAAGGTAAAGGTTCCCTTGCTCGAAAGCCAGTCGAGTCCGACTCTAGGGTTGCGGTGCTCATCTCCGTTTCAAAGCCAAAGAGCCAGCGCTGTCCGAAGATGTTTCCGTGGTCACGTGGCCGGCATGACTGAACACCAAGGCGCACGGAACGCTGTTCCCTTCCCACCGAAGTGGTACCTATTTATCTACTTGCAATTTCTTGCTTTCGAACTGCTAGGATGGCAGGAGCTGGAACTATGGACGGGAGCTCACTCCGTCGTGTGGCACACTCGGGTCTCAAACTGCTGAACTACCGACCTTCCACGCCTTCAGTTCAGCCTAACCACTTGAGCCACCGCAGCTCCGCTACTTATGGCAGTAGTCAGCCAAAATTCCGAGGTCCCTAGTCAGTATTCCCTCAGCCCTATCAATTGATTTGTGCCTTACTGCAATTGCCATGTCATCAGCATAAGCAAACTTCAGAATTATTTTTTTATCCTGATTGTAAAATCTCCATCCTTCGGAGTTCTGGATAGGGATACCAGTTGGGCAGCTCCCCAATTTGATGTTACCTCCAGGTGGGCTTGGGCCTAGTTTTTTCAACAGGCTCCAAGCTTTCCTACTGGAATGCCTGAAACCCAAATTTGCAGTTGGTTTGGTCCATTTTTGTCTATGTACAGTGTCAAGTTCACGGAGTAGTTCATCTGCTACTTCTGGGTCTTTGCTGTTGAGGAAATCTTGATACAGCCTCTCGCTCTGCTCGTTCCAGCCTGGAATATATTCTTTCAGATATCCTCAAGGAATGTGCCTTTTGGACATAGATATAACAGCTCCAACGAATCAGCAGTAGTTATGTGTTGGAGGGACCCATCTGAGACACCTATCCAGATCTTCACTGAAATCTTTCCAGTTCACCCTCTTAAAGCTCCATGGTGGTCTTGGAAAAGACCCACTAACTGGTATTTGGATTCCTAGCTCGAGGATTGTAGGTCGATGCTGACTGTGTGGGAAAGCCTCAAGAACACATCTGGATGTAGGCAAGGGCTGACTTCTCTGGTAAGATGAAACAAATCTTTAAATAAGGTTGAACTCTATTCCACACTGCTGATCTGAAGGTGGCTCTGTCTTTAGCGTTGAAAATGAGATGCAGACCATCTTTTTCAGCCTGGTCGACAAATGCCTCACCATTGTTACTGTTAACCAGGGATCATTTCGTAGAAAAAGA